AGAGAGAAAGACAAAAGGACATAGGGTGCCACAGGAAGATAGGATTTACAAAATGGAAAATTTTACATTAAGATCTTTAAGATATTATGAGCTTGTGGGAACTTGATAAAACTTTCGTAAAACCTATCTGGAATACTAAAAATGAGAACCACAGTGTCCTCTTTTCATGACATCTGAGAAACTTCTGTTGTCTAATTACCACCTGTTTTATGTTAGACTAGTATCTAGGTGATTAACACTCCTTACTGATTGATTTTGTCAACTACATAACTTCACAGTTACTGACTGTGCTCAGAAATTTAATTAAAATACAATATGCCAAGGAGAAGCAGATTTTTGATTTATTTTATTTAAATAGAAGTTTATTAACACTCATCCACTAGATGCATTTACATAATTAAAGCAGTTCAATATAAGTATCTCATAATGAGCCACTACAATAGAGAGTCACTACTGCTCATTCTTCATTTTCTTTTTCTATTAAAAAAGAATGGTCAGTGTAGTTATGTCACTGGAACTCTCTAGTTCTGAAAATATATTGGATTTTTCCTATTCCAAACCTAAATGAGCTTTGCAAATTCCCAGGACCAGAAAAGTTTCCAGAAATCTGCTGGCACACTCTGTAAGGAGACAAGAGAGCATTCAGTGCCTATTTTTCATTGTCTTCCAAGGATGCCCTTATACTTAAATCAATGCCTGGTAGTAGGTAACAGGCCAGAATTTTAAGATGGTCTTGAAAGTATAAGATATATTGATACTAATTTTTTCAGGATAATGTCAATATGTATTAAAGGCCTTAAAATAATCACCTTTGGACCCAGTAATTCCATTTCAATCAGTATATCCTAAAAGAGTTGGGGGGGGCACAGAGGTGATAAACACAATGATGACCAACAATGTGACAAATATTTGAAATGATATGTATGTCTAATTTGGCATTGAAAATCATGCTACATTTGTACCGTTGGATACTATGCAATAATTACAATATGAAGAAGAATATTTAATGATATGTGATTATTACTTCTAAAAGTAACATTGGTAGAAATATGGAATAAATATTTTTCTAAACATTTTAAATCTGTTTTTCACATTAACCTTTACAATAACCATAGCAATGAGGTACAGATCATTATCTTCAATTTATAGATGACTATCATTAGTACATGAGCAGGGAAATAAGACACAGTATACTCCTTTTCCACTAACAGACCCAATCTGGTAGAGGGTCAAGCACATGGAATTTTCAATCAAGGGTACAGTTTTGATCATAGTATAAGACTAGCCATTTTAATTATTTAAGACAAATGATTCAAGTTGTTTACCGGACATTTTATTACCAATAATCAGAAGAAATCTTCCTTTTGGTATTCTTCCTTTGGGAAGAATAATCCTTTCCAGGTGTTCTAAAAGGGCAGTGGGAAACAAAGTGCAATAGACCTCCTTATCTGTGGGAGATACGTTCCAAGACCCCCAGTTGGTGCCTGAAACCACAGACAGTACCAAATCTGATATATACTATGTTTTTTTATACATATGTAACTGTGATAGAGTTTAATTTATAATTAGGCACAGTAAGAGATTAACAACAATAACTAATAATAAAATAGAGCAGCTGTAACAGTACACTGTAATCAAAGTTATCTGAATGTGCTACAGCCATAGTCACTCTGCTAACCTGGAAGGCCGCTTAGTGACTAATGGGCAGGGTAGTGGACACAGCCTGGATACGCTGGGCGAAGGGCGAGCTCACAGCCTGCCTGGGTGGAGTAGGACAGCCCAAGATTTCATTACACTACTCAGAATAGCGTGCAATTTAAAACTTAGGAGTTGTTTTTCTGGAGTTTTCCCATTTAGTGTATTTTCGGACTGCAGTTGACCATGGGTATCTGAAACCTGCAAAAGTGAGACTATAGATAACGGGGGACTGCTGTGACGTTACCTTGGGTACATTACAGGAACCCTGCTAGTTTAACATAGCTGTGATGCATAAGACTAAAACGTGGTTTGTGGTAGGGGCCAGTTATACAAATTGGGTTGATGAAATTGTGAATGATTTCTACTTCGTATTTTTCTGATTTTCTAATGATTGTATATATATTTTGTATGGAAAAAGAAGTCTTTAAAAGTCAAGTTAAGGCATTTAACGTTTTTTCTAACAGTACTCAAAATTCTTATTAGTAGATAATGGGTTATAACATAGCTAATTTTGTTTTGACTGTTCCAGAGATTACTTACATGATGAAACTCTTCAGTCATGTCTACAAAGTAGTGAATCGGTGGTTTATCTAGAGTAGGACCCCACTTTAAGAAGCTGCAGTATTTTCCCCGATCATCCTCCTTACAAGCCTGTGAATAGATTTAACACAGAGGACTATGCAAAATTCCCCACCAGACAGAGCCTTGCCACAAACTTGGCATTATCTTCTAGGCAGAGAAGATGGGCATCCTTTTTTTACCCTTTTAAATTCCATTCTAGGCATCTCTGGTTTCTGTGGATTATCCCAGAGATATGGAATCACTGATACTGTATCTGTTAATACACATTCACATTGTAAAGAAAAAAGGAAGCTTGAATTAGACAAGGTTATATACCAGGATTACAGCTGAACTTGCTTCACCTGCTTATCAAATATATTCTGAGGCTGAAATCTGGAAAATGAGGCAATACAGTAATACAGCTGGGTTGGAAAAAAAAAAAAAGTCAGAGGACCAGAGGACTTCTCTGTGAATTACAACTGTTAATCATGGTTCTCAGTGAGCATCTGGACTGGGAACATGTAGCTGAATGAGTAAAGAGAAAAGTTTGTCTTATTTTGACTGTGCAATAGTTACTAAGTCATGGCTCAGAAATGAATCTGGATGGGGAGCTCTGCATCTGAGATGGGGAGAATAAAGGGGAAACATAATGGTGATTTCCTAAAATGTATAGAAAAATCATCTGTGGCCAAGGAGGAGGCGATCTCATTCATTTTATCCTAAATGCTATGCATGTGTTAATTTAGGCTCTAGGAAGGGATTGGGGAGAGAATCCCCACGTTGTGTGGCAAGAACTGTAGAAGGCAAATAACTGCCAGATACATGCCTTTGTTGCTGGTAATTAGGTTCTTGTCTCGCAGCAGAAAGAATTTAGAGATGAGACAGGGAGGTTAAGAAGGTAAAGTAGGGATTTATTAAGGGATAAATAGTAACTCTCAAGGGGAGAGCAGGCAGGCTCTGGTGAGCAGCTGCCCTGAGTTTCTTTGGTAAGCTGGTTACATGGGTGTAAAAATGAATTGGCGGAGTATTCACTGGAGAAGGAAGGGTTTGGGGTCATATCACCTGATTTTCATCTGAACTCCACCTTCCCTAGGGGAGGAGGGATTTTTGTCCTTATTTAGTCTGAATTGGAAGTGTCATGGCGCCTGTGCATGATGGGTACTTCTAATCTGCAAGGCTAATTTTATTGAAATGTGAGCATAATGAGCAAAAAGTTGCATTTGGACACTGGAGATTCCTTCTTTGTTGGCCTCCGGACTGCTTATCTCCCCCAAAGGTGTGACAACTTATCAGCCCAGAGGTTCCTGCTTTTCTTTCTCTGCCCAGGGACCCCTGGTGCTTACATGATGTATGGTTTCCTGTGTTTGGCCTGTGCCCCTGCTATTTGCCCAATTCCTGCCATTTGGCCTGTGTCCCCCTTTCTCTGCTCATACCTAGCTATCTGCCTGCTGTAACACCTTGACATCTCCTCTTTGTTGCTGCAAGAAAGGGCCATCCAAGGTCTTTGGGGCCAGCTTGTGCTAGTTTTCCTTTAGCTTAAACCTTTAGAGGAAAGGCTTTAAGTTTCTTTTTCGCTTTGTACTTAAAGCATTTTATTTTATAGGAGAGTGCTTTAATTCCTGAAAATTTAAGATAAAAAATTCTTTTCTATGTCATAATGGGTTCATTTAGATTTCTCTCAATGACAATCTGAGGCATAGTAAAGCAGATTCTAAGACCCTCGCCAATTCCCAAATTGCTAAATAGCTTTCTAGTATGAAATTTATTTTATATAATGAAATAAAAGCATCTGGCTTTCCTTTAGAGGCATTTTCACAAAAAGCAGTAATAAAAAAAATTACTGTTTACTCCATGACTACTAGAAATTGAGTAAATCCCACTGAAATGCGGAAGCTGGGCCGTTGTCTGCGTCCATGCTACATATAACCCCTGAGTCTTACAGGAGTCGAATTTGCGTACAGTAAAATTATAAATGACTAAATATCTTACACCTTTTGTGCATGGTGAAATTACATGTAAAAATTCATGAAATTACATGTAAAAATTCATGAAATTACATGTAAAAAATGCTATTTTCAATAAATGTAGTAACATACAGTACATTCCTAGTACTCACATTTGCATAG